GCATTTCTTCCGCAAGAAGGGTTTGCTGTCATACTCAGAACAGGTGATTCAGAACAGGCTCATGCAGTGCTTTCAGGATCCTCAGTGCCCTGTGCTGCTTATAGGTGACTGCTGTTAAAAACCTCCTCTGCCTAGCTGCAGAGCTTCTGAAGACACTTCTCCTTATGTTTTTTGTTGACTGCACGGTGGAGTTTTTTATCAAACTTATGTTGAAACATACTCAGTTGCTGCCAGGCCAATTTTTTGCTGAACTTTTCATTCACCTGAGAAGCCACCACTGACTTGCTATTACTTGTATTTCCATTGTTCTTAGAGGCAGTGTTCGAAACTCTGATATATCAGTTGGTCTAAAACTGTACCACAAAATACAGCTCCACACTAAAGAGTTTGGAGAGGCACAGTGTTAGCAGGTACCAGTGTGAACTGGACTAGCCAGGATGCTGCTGGCAGCAGACACCCTTGCCTCCATGTCCACTGCCCTTCTTTGCCCTCCCAGCTGCAGGAAGACTGGATTTTTCATGCCCAGAATCATTCTGTAGTAGGAGATGAAGATGAAACTCGATCTCTTTGCCTTTAAGATTACAAACTGAAAAAAAGATGAATGCATTTCAGCAAATAATACAAGGAGCAGGGCTGCCAGAAACCCCTAAGTGAGAGCAAACAATCCTTATCTGGCAAAGTTTTACATTACTTAATACCAGTTCAAGTTTAAAGGCATTTGTTTGTTTCTGTTGCACACAAGGCATCTTTCTGGGTGGATCCTGCTATTAGGGTTAGTCTCTGAGAATTTGTACCAGCACTTGTTCATCTTCCCACTTGTTCAGCTACAGCCTGATTGCTGGAAAGGTGATTGCCAGTTACTGTAATTTTCTTCAGAAACAAGGTCTCAGAACACTCAAGGAGGAGATAAATATCATTGTCTTTTGCCGTTTGCCTTGTGACCGATAGAAATGTCACTTTGTTGTTTCCCTCCCTGCCACCAGCAGTGCAAAATGAACAAGGGCATCGGATTTCAAGACTGGTTGGCTCAAAGGAGGACTTCGTTTGCAGAGTCTAGCTCCAAAGGGCATTAAAAAGACTCTAATCCCGAAGGGGGGGCGGGGGGGGGAAGCGGTGACCTTTTGGTGATCTTCTGGAGAAAGAGTGACAGTGAAAGTTTGGCTCTGCCAGCATTACCCCTGCTCTGTAACTCAGTGCGAAGGAATTAACCCAATGTCAATGACTTGAACACAGAGGGACCAAGAATCAGTTATCAGCATTAGCCACAGGGTGAAAAAAAAGTTACCTAACAGCAACTGAGCACAGTTGGATGAGAGCTGGGTTTACCCAGAAGTGATGGAGAAGGGCCTTTCCATCCCCTGCCTTTGGCTGGCAGGTTGGAGCTACCAGCTCCACCAGGGTTTGTAGAGCCCAGCACATGCCTGACACCCTGCTTGGAGGCTCTTGCCCACACCACCCACTTTTGGCACTGGCCAAGAGGAAGAAAATAGGTCATATCACAGATCCTGGCCACCAAAAAAAAACCACCAAAAAACCCCACACAGAACAATATTTTGCTTCAAAGTGTTGCACCTGGCAAGGCAGTAGCATGGGGTGGAGAGGTGCAAATCACCACAGGACTGAGAGCACCACCATGGCTTCAGCTGCAAACACAGAAGTGTCTTGGTTAGCAAACAGGTTCGGTCGTGGCTGGGTGATGTTTTATCTTGCTTCTTCCATCAGACTTCATTTTCTTGCAGAGGTTTGGATTTTTAGACCATTTAAGGTTAACTCGTTGCAATATGTTAATCGGCTGTTTTCCCGGAGGAGCAGCCAGCGGGCGTTAGGGAGCATAGAGAGCAGAAGTTGCTCTGCCAGTGGCAGGATGAACATCTCTGCCACAATTCAAGTCTTGGGTTGCTGCACGCCCAGGACATCCCTGCAGTGTGCTCAGCGCCTTTCTGACCTCACCAGCCCCACACATCTACCTGAGCTCAATCCCTCTATTGCCCTGGAGAAGGGCTGGAAGCATCATATGCCATGCCAGAAGTGGTGTTTGGTCATCGTGCAGCCTGCAGGCACATAGGGGAATTTTCTTTCTCCCTCTCTTCCCTCCCCACTTTCTGCTTATCATGGAGCTGATCCGGATTGTTCTGCTGGAAAATCCCTTCCTTGCTGCTGGGTTTGGTTGAAATTGGCCGGTGAATTCAAACTGTGCTGTGGGCGGCTTGATAGACAGGCAGATAGACAACATGATTGTGAGAGTTTCATTTCTGTAAGGAATCAGGCTAAAAATGACTCCTTATCCCAAGGGAGCTTGTCCAGCATGTCTCAAACTGAAGTATGCAAAGCAGGGAGAAAACACTACACAGACAGCCATGGTTGGGGTGCTAATTTGAGATCCACAGTCAGGTTTCTATCCTACCACAGCCTCTCTGTTTGGCCTCCAGCAAATCACACAACTTTTCTAATCCTCTGTTTCTTTTACGTAAAACAGAGCAAAAGGTTTGGGGCTTTTACCTTTAGGAGAGAGGATGATGACTGAGTAAATTAGAAATCATGAGGTGCTTGGATACCACATGCAAGACTACAGCCTCACTCTGGTGCCATCAAAGCATGTAATGCCACTAATAAAAAAATTTTAAACCCCCAACTTCTGTGTCTGGACCCACAAACCCAGAACTACATGTGTTTGGAAACGAGGTCCCACTTGGGAGGAGGTATAGATGCAGCCGCACTGGGGTGAAGGAGGCACCAGCATGATATTGCATTCAGCAATGTACCGGCGTACGCTGAAACAACAGCCTTCTGCATCATTCTGCTCTGGGCTTAGCTCGGGGAAGAAGAGCAATGTCTTGTCTTTCCTCACTCAAGGATTGGAAGGCAAAGCTAAAATTCCACCCCTCCTCCACATCTTTGCACAGTAACAGAGGGGCAAACACCTCTGGGGAGGCTGCAGGAACCTGTCTCTCTAGTTAGGAGTGCTCAGTGTGGCAAACACTGTTTGTCACAGGACCGGGGAGCTGTGGTATTGCAGCTGCCTCTCCGTGTGCAGGATGTTATTCTGCCTCCAGACTTGTGGTCTGATGTTCTTGAACATTTGCACTCGCTAGGCGAGCCCGTGAGCCTTTAGTTTTATCACATTAACATGGGAAAGCGTTGGCTGTCTCCAAATCACCTCAAGGATAATATTTGAAGCAAAGGGATAATGTTTTATAAGTGAAGGAGGTCCGAAATAGCAACGGTTTCTTCCTGTTAGTGCAAACCATCCCTTCTGTGATGGGTGTTTGCTGGCTGGGGGAAATGAATTGGTGATTGCTGCCCATACCTAATAGGATTTATACTCGCGGAGCCAAAATCACCCAGATATGCAAGGCTAATGCCGCCACCTTCCAGCCCTCTCAAAAAACAAACAAACAAAAAAAGCAGTCATGGATTCAATGCAAGTTGAAATCACAGCTGCCAAATTCTCCATGGGGATGTACGAGCTGAGGGTTCCCTTCAAGCCCAGTTTTCTGCTGGGGACATACAACTGTCTTCAAGAGCATAGTCTTGGTGAGCAACTTCATCCTGGACCCATAGAGATGGGAATGTTGTTGTCTTACCAGCGTGTTCCCACCAATATGCTATTGCTGTCATTGAGATGGAGCCTTTCAGCATCATCAAGGACTTGTGCTGGTGTGGTATTGTGTCTGCCACAAAACAACCTCCCTCATACCGTGAGAACTTCCCTTGCTATATAGTTGTCTTCCTCCTCCGTCCTCATTCCTTTCCCTCAGTATTTCTACAATACTCTTGAGGCACTTCTGAATCCAGCTGACCTCTGGCTGTCTTTACTCATCCTTCTAGCTGAGTTTGCAGAGGGGAAAATTCCCCTTCAATTATGCTGTCTCTTTGCCTGAGCCCTGACTGTGCGATCTCCATCTTGGCCTTAAAACTACAAATTAGAGCAGCCTTTTTCCAAGGAAACCCTCTCTGGTGCTGGCCAGGCAGAAGATCAGTCCGTAGGGCACAGTCTTGTGCATTCCCATTGGGTTGCCGCAAGTGCTGCTCAAGAGAACAGGCAGCGGCAGAGCCACTTCTCACCTTCTCACCAGCAAACCGCCCAGCTCGCCCATCTGATAAATGGCAGGTTGGAAAGGCGTTGGCACCAATGCTTTGTTTTTAATGTGCTGTTTTTCTAAATTCCCATCAAATGTCGAGGAAGGGTGTACCCTGCTTCTGCTTCCTTTTGACCTTTCGCTCGCTCTTGGCCGCAAGGGGTGAGGTCCCACGCTTGTGTTTCGGCTTGTTTGTAGCGGTGCCGTTCAGCCGTGGGGCGTGGGGGGTGGGAGGGGGTGTGGCGAAGGGGTGGTGGTGGTGATGTTTTGGTTTGGCTCGGCTTTGTTTTCTTTTCCAAAGATGGGCCCAGTGTGGAAGAAGGCAGGGAAAAGTTGAATTAAGAAAAGGCAGCTTTTGCGGTTGGGGCGCACGATCGGGAGTCAGCAGACGCAGGTTCTATTTCTGGCACCACAGCAAAACTTCCCGATGTCGCTGGGCAAGGCAGCTCACCCATCTCCACCTTGCCTTGCCTCCCTCCCGCCGAACAACGAGCGCTCCTGCCCTCGCTCGCCCACCGGGACGCGGACAGGGATGCGGCCGGGGCGGCTCTGCCGTGGGGCTGCGGGCGGCACGGCGGCTCTGCCTCGGCCCCGCAGCATCCTTGGGGTGCACCGCCTGGCCCGGCACTCGCTACCGCAGCCCGCTCAATAAACCACCCTCGGCCTTGCCGCGTACGCCCAAACCCCCCCGCCATCCAAGGGACTCCTTTGTGCGGGAGGCGGGGGGCGGCAGGGCCGTGCCCCGGGGGGCGGGCGGCCCGCGGCGGCGGCCCGGGGGGGCGGGCGGGCGCGCCGGGGGAGGAGACAGGCGGGGAGGGCGGCACAAAAGGGGCTGCTGCAGCCCTGCCCGCTGCTGCCGGCGGGGCTCTGCTCGCCGCTGCTCTGCAGCGCAGCGCATCCTTTTCCCGCGGCCGGGAGGAGGTGCCGGGCCGCTCCGCGGCGGCGAAGGAGAAGGCGGAGGAAGGCGGCGGGGGGCTGCGGGCTCCGGGCTCGCCTCTCGCCTCGCCGCGGCCGGCGCCGAGCCATGCCGGGGGGCGGCGGGTGGGCCGGGGGCGAGCGGCAGCCTCGCCCCGCCGGGGGCCCGGCGGGCACCGACACTGCGCCGGCCGGGGGTGAGTGAGTGAGCGAGCGGGGGGCGGCGGAGCGGGGGGCGGCGGCGGGGACAGAGTGCACCCCACGCCCCGCGGCGGCGGGCGCTGAGGGCAGCGGCGGCGGGACCCCCATCGGTCCGTCTCCCCCGCCGCTGGTGCCGCCACCTGCAAGTTGTGCCTCGGCCCGGGGGTGCGGCGTCATCCCTTGCGAGCGCTGCCGGAGAGGCTTCCCCCGCCGAGCCCCCACCTTCCCGCTCCTTATTTATTTATATTAGTGCTGGTTTTTTTATTCTCTTCCCCCTCTCCCCACGCCCCCCCCCCCCCCCCCCCCCCCCCCCCCCCCCCCCCCCCCCCCCCCCCCCCATAATCCCGGCATTCCCTGCTAGGGAGCATCGGCTGTGGGGAGGAGGGAGGTGATGCTGCCAGCCCCCTGCCCGCCGCGGAGGGCTCGCCGAGGGTGAAGGCACCCTCCCTCCGGCCGGGGCACTGCAGCGAAGGCCCATCTGCTGCCCGGGCTCGACTTGCGAGGAGGGCACGGGCTGGGGATGCGTGCCAAGCCTGCAGCAAGCGAGAAGGAGTAACAGGAGTGCGTGCGTGGGAGGGAAAACATCCATACAAATGTATGTGTATCATCATCACCATACGTCCCTTCTGCCCTGCTCTGTCTCCATGTCGGATGGCTACAGTCCTTCCCCCCGTTAGGGACTAGCTACAAAGGGACGCGGGCACCCAAGTTCTCCACGCTGGTGCGGGGCTATCGGGTTGTCTGCGGGCTGGAAATAGGTGTATGTCCTGCTGGAGTGACACAAGCTGGCATAGCTCAGTCCTTGTGAGAGTTTTGTGCCCTGGGAGAGCGTGACAAGGTTGATGGGGAACACGGCATCTGCTGCAGCTCTAGACTTCTTCAGAGAGCTCAGCAAGGGAAGGAGTGTGGTGCGGGATGGAGTGCCTCAGCCCGTGGTTTTCCTGTGGGGATTTCCACAGACTGCATTTCTGTGAGCCGTGCCTGGGTCGTGCGGGAACCATGTCTGTTTCCCAGAACTGAAGCTGTGGTCTTGCACCTCTCCCTTCTACCCTAGGGCAGAGCTTGTGTCAGGAGCTAGCCTGCCTTGTCTCCAGCACACTGTGGGTGCTGAGTACCTCCCCTCCCATAGAATGGCCCTCCAGTTAACTCCAAATCCCTCCCCTTGAGTGGGAAGTTCAAGCCCATGGAAACACTTGGTGGCACCACTGCTAACAAATATGACTTGAGTCACTAGGAACCCCCAGTCCCTGTGCAAACTGAATTTCAAATTCCTGCCTGCTGCTGCTCATGTATCCCTCGCCGTAGCAAGGTACAAGTCAGCAGGAACTTTTCAGGTCCCTTCCCCAGATGGTGTCTCTTGCTCTCTGTGGATCCCAACTGCAGAATTGGTGTTGAGTCCAGCTGGAGCCTGTGATTTTGGAAGCACTTGCAAGTCCCTGTTGCTGCAGCCTGGTTGCTGTCAGCTGCTCAAGGGAAGAGCTGAAATCAAGCAGGACAATCAGAGAGCAAGCAGAGAGCCATCTCAGAGGGGAGGGAGAACTGCGGGTGTCCCTACCTTGCAGCTAACTTCCAGTTTCCAGAGCCCCCCTAAACAGAGCTGTAACACCTGTGCTTGCGATTCAGCCTCGGTGGTAGTGCTAGGAATGTGTCTTCCAAGCGGGAGTGGGAGAAGAGCAGTCCTTTGAGCTATTCCTGGGGAGCCTCTAGCCTCCCTACACCATTATAAAACAAGCATTGAATGAAAGCGTTGCATACTGTGGAAAAGAAGTGAAGCTGTGACTCTTCTACTGCATGTCATAAAAGTCCCTCAAAGATTTATAGCTTCTCTGTGCCCTCAGGTAACTTTGCAGTAGTGGTAAAAAATCCACTGCAAGGTATAACATTCCCTCCCTGTGAGGACTCTGCTATACCTGTGTAGCTTGTTTATTAATGCCTGGGATACGGCAATTATATCCTTAGGAGAGGGGAAGGATTCTGGCTAGCTGCAGGTGTGTTTTCTTGCCCAGTTTCTAATTTGGTGTCCCAGCCGCTGTCTTTTGGTTAGCATACCTTTGGCTGTATGTGCTGCTGAGGCTCATCTCCATCACACGGGCCCAGAAAGTGAGGGACTGTTTCCAAACTGGGTTCGGGGGCTGAGCTGCCAACCGCCTCCCTCCCTCCTTCCCTCCCTGCAAGTGCTGGTAAGGTTGCGAAAAGAGAGTTGCCTGTGTGGCACACAGGGCTTGTCTTAGCAAGGAGGTCAAGAAGAGGTGTGGAAAATAGTATTTGCATGGATGTTGGCTTCGGTGGATGCTCACAACTGTAAATGTATCTGGAGTACTTGTGCCCAACATGAGATGGAGATAGCTGGTCTGGAGGGTTGCTGGGACTGTGATATGATCACAGAGCCTGTTTAACTTTTGCTGGGTGCATGGCAGGCACAGATACACTCTGTTTACTTGCCTGAGGAGCATACCTATGGGGTTTGTGTGCTTGTGTATGTGCCTTATGTTTACCTTTCTCCTCCTCCTCCCACGTGCAGCTGGTTAAGTGCAGCGTGACACTGTGGCCTGCCAGCTTGGTGTAACACGCTTATGGCATGATTTTAAGGGAGGGTTGTGTGACAAACGTGGGTGGCTGTTTGCTGGGCACATATAACAATGCACAGAGGTCCTGCTGGGTGCACTTACCATGGAATACCTGCACTCTTGTAGAGTTTATGCCGCAGAAAGTGTGGAGCACGTAAGCAATCGTGGGCATGGCAGTTGTTCAGGACAGTGCACATAGATGTTGTGCATACTCGTTGTGTGAAGGGACCTTAGGGCAGACAAGTTTCTCTTTGATGTCCCTCCCTTGTTTTGACCTGTCAGCAAGGAGAGATAAACTGTCTCATGGCAGGGTTTATAGCTGAGTTTTCAGCTTGGTGTACCTGAGCTTGAGAATAGCATCTTTAAGGTGCACCTGCTGTTGTAAATTGACACCCCCCCCCACCCCAGCCCCTGCATCAGATCATAAAAGTGGAGGACTGAAATGGGGGTATTTGGTAATTGAATGATAGGGCAAGCTGGTCCAACATTCATTCCTAAAGGCTGATTAGGTTTTAGGTGGGGTTAGTTGCTCTAAAATGAGCCCTTTGTACATTGTTGGAATCTGTGACCCAATCAGTGGGATGTAGCTGGAGGAGGTGGTGCTAACGAACACTGGTACAGCTGACAGTAACTCTGGCAGAGAGGAAGGCGGAGGGTGTACTGACTGGTACAAGAGATGTCTTCATGTCTTTAGGTCAGTGAAAGGTGCCTCAAGGGGCTGGTTCATGTTATCAGCCCTGACTATAGAAGCAGAAGAGTGTGGGTGGTTGTCCCCGCCTGTTTTTCCCAATTGTCACTGTCACCCATCACTTCTGCACAAAAGGTCAGGCTGCATTGCACTTGGCACAAAATGCCATCATGTCATCGGGACACTACAATGAAGTATTAAAGTGGAATCTGAAATTTGGGGAAGGTGGATTGTCGTGCAGGGAACAGTGCGATGCAAGGGGACGTGGAGGGGTGTCTGAGGAATGCTTGCTGTTCCCCATCCTGGATGTTCTTGAAAAGGTGGTGATATATCTGCAGTGCACGTGTGGACCGTGCTGTCGGGTCAGTGATGCAGGCTGGCCTTGAGGAACTGTGACAGAGCTGCATAGAGGGACCAAGCCCAGAATTGTGGGCAGCTCTGGGTCAGGTTTGGGGGGCTTTGGTAGTCAGATGAGTGGGTTGCAAAGGACTGGGCTGTGCAGGTCAGGGCTGTGCTACAGTAGCAGTGCTGTGTGAGATGCCAGGACCAGCTGCTTGTCCCAGGGGCCAAGGCAGACTTGCAGTCACACTGCTAGTGAGTTCCCCCTTCTCCTGGGGGACGTGAAGAGAGATGCCGTGTGCTGGAGCTGTGGTGTAGGATGCAGAAGAGACTTCCATGCCTGCACCTGTGTGAAGTGAACTCTGAAGCTCTTGGAAAGGCAGAAACACGATTTCTTTACCTTCTTTTTCTGACTTCTTCATATTCCTTGCAGTGCAGACCCTTTACTTCCCCCCAAGCTCCCCCTGAATCACAACAGGTGATTCCTGCTCTTCAAACCTTTGAACACCTGTAGCAGGGTAGGTGTACTTTTGTACTCAGAAACTTGTCTGGTAGAGGTGATAGGTGAAAGAGAGTGCAGCACTGCACTTCGAGCTTTCATCAGGCAGGCAGAGGGAAGAAGCAGCATGAAGGGAACTGGCTGCCTTACAAACAGCAAGAGCTTGTTCTAGAGCTGTGATTTAGAAAGTGTTTATTACCTGCATTAGGAGAGCAAAAGTTATGTGATCTGCTCGCTCACGTTTGTGGGAGATGCTCCCCCGTTTGTGGGGGCCTTGGTCTCTCATACAGAGATAACCCCCCATGGCTGAATAGGCAACTCGATGAGCTCAGTTAAGGTTCCCTGTTTCTCCGGCTAGGGGAGTGCTCAGATCTGTGCCTAAACAGGCTTTTTTGAAAGATAGGCCGTGGCTGTGGGGTATGACCAAACAGAGCTCTGCCAGCAGTCTTTCTCAGCCCATAATGCACAAGCTGTAAGCAGCAGGAGAGGTCAGGAGAGGTGGATGTGGCTGACCAGAGGAAGAATGGCAGTGGGGGCATTTCCTCTTTTGGAGGATCATCTGCATCTTATGTTTTATGACAGGGTTTTTCTCCAAGAACCTCGAGGAAACCCAGTAAGCTGCTTTTAATTAGGCAAGCTCTTGGAGTAGAAGAGTATCTCTTATTTCCCATACGGGGAAACTGAGGCATGGAGTGAGGCTGTGCCATGCCCAGTGGTAAATGCAAGGGCTCGTCAGGAGAGCAGCAACTGGAGTGCAATGCTTCCCCAACTTGCTTTGCTGTTGTCTGTTTTGGGAACCCTGGAGAAGAGCCAGGTGTGTGTGCTGAACTAGGGGTTATCGATTACCTTTCTAGTCACTGTTTGGATCCTGCAGCCCTTTTCACCATAGATATCACCTCCTCC